GGCTGGGCGTAGTACATTTTCTCGGCTAGGCTCAAAGAAGTCCCACAGAGCGGTCCAAACACCTGAAGGCAAACCAGTCAGAAACTGGAGCGGCTCAGAGTCTTTCTTTATGTTAATGTACGTAAGCTGTTTTCGGCTTTCTTCACCCCATCGTCCAACTGCTCCACGAGACTCTGTACACGAGCTCTACTTGCTGCCAACTCCTGATGCAGATGCTGCACTTCCATTAAAGGACCAAACTGCACTAAGCCAGGTTCCTTTCCAACTCAAAATGCCGTTGCCTCTCAGCAAAATACTGCTTTGCGAGCATGGGGAGCTTGTGATGCAGACGCTGCACTTCCATGATCGAACTGCACTAGGCTCATGTTTTGCGAGCATGGGGAGCAGAGCGTCCAGACTTCACTCTCTTGCGAAAAGCAAACCTGGTACCGTAGGACAGCTATTTGGTTTCCTGGACTCATCCTGCCCTTATAGAGCTGGGCAAAAACGATTTCGACTTCGGGATCGAAATGATCGCTGCAACTCAAATATTCAGAGTTACCCTAAAACTACGTCCTTCCTCACGGGGAATAGCCTGGATCCGCTTGCTCCACACGAGGAAAGGAGTGAAATGACTTGTTTGCTTCGTCCTCCTGTTCTGACAGTGAGGAACGCAGCAATGATCCTGAGAAGGCATCCTGAAGTCGTAAAAAGGAAGACGTCTAAACAAAAACAAAACAGCTCAAATCAAAAGTCCTTGTGGCATTTTTGTAGACAGGCTTGCACTGCATGTAGATTTCGCGTGCTCTGCACTTCGCATGCGAGAAGTCACGCACAGCCGAGGTGAGGTTGGTCGCGTGTGCAGCAGGATCCCACGCGACTGCGGAGTTGCCCCCTTGCTCGAACCCAGACAATAATAAGGGGATCGGTCTATTATTTACACGATTGTGGGGCCAGGACAAGTCACTCGGAAACGTGATGTAGTGACTGTCTAGTGATGCCGAGCAACGGGGTGCTGACGAACGAACACGCTAGAGTTTCACCAAGCGCAGCATACGTATAATTATAACCTAACCAGTTGATTATAATTATGGGAAATATAAACCTGTATACAAACCGAGGCGAAGCCGAGGTTTGTATATTGGTTTATATTTCCCATATAATCAACTGAGTAGGTTATATTATGCTTATACTGAGCTGATATACAAACTCCTCTCTCCCCCACAAGGGTAGAGATTGGAATTCCAACCCACAACCATGGCTCGACGAGTCTTCGTTTCACCAACGTGTGTAGTGTGCGGATCAAGTACAAGACTACCATTGACTCTGTGCAGTGGCCAGTGCATGCAGTGCAGTACCATCACACACTCTTTGTGACTTCAGTTTAGTACTGAAGTACTAGTTACATCGGAAGTAACAGCTATGCGCCAAGTAAGTAAGTTAGTTAGTTTGAACCTCACAGTGCTAGTGACCGTTACCGCGCGCAGATCTCACCGCGGGCTCTGTAAAAGAACCGTTTGACATAGAGATTAGAGTTCGTCTCCTTTCCAAAGTAAGAGTAAAATGAATCAGCACGAGCCTGTTGAATCGACTCCCAAACGTTTCTTTAGTTCTTCTGAGGACGACCACGAATCACGATGCCATTATTCAAGCAGCAGTTTCCAAGAACACTGGCAATGCCACGGATTATGGCTGCGCATGTTCCGTCCGCTCTGCGAGGGACGCGGAAAGGAGAACATCGATTGGAAAACCACCAGTAGTGAAGTTCCGTCGCCCCTTCTATCTGCATTCTATGTCTATGCAAAAACGCAGGAGGAGCGGCACGCGGGGCTCTTCAGCCGCACATGTCGAGTGCTGCGCTTGACAGACGGAGTGCTGAAACAGCGAAAGAAGGACAGCCTCGAACGTCAGGTGCAGCACAAGGCACCTGTTACACCATTATTTCAGCGACATCGACGACACCAATGGCAACGACGCAGTAAAACTTACCTATTACGAATGGTTCTATCTGATGTTGCGCTTTGTCTTCGTGGAAGCGAAATGTAAGCCTCAATCAAAAAGGACGACGTTGTAATTGTATTCTTCATCGTTGACGGGAAAGAGATCCTGAAGTTGGGACCGTCGTGCATGTCGAAAAACCATCAAGGCGGACTGCAGGTCACTAGTGTGATCCTAAAAAAAAGGAGTTTATATACCAGTTTATACACCAGTTTATACACCAGTTTATATACCAGTTTAAATACCAGTTTATATTCTTGTCATCGAAGTACCTGTTATATGCAAAATACAAGTCTGGAGTGTTGTGTGGGGAGAGATGGGAGTTTGTATACAAGCTCAGTATAACAATTTATAATAATACGGTGACTCAACGGTGTATAGACCGTAGTACATGACATTGACAGTAGGAACGGCCTAGATTACGAGGCTGACCCCCAGGTCTGCGGCACGCGATATGTTGACAGTACATGTACGGACTTTCATTTACTTTTACTATGTTAACAAACCCGGCTCGAAAAGTAATACTAATAGTAATGAAAGACCATGGCCCATGGTACTGAATCTAGGACAAACGTGACAGCTACCGGGCACGGACTGCATGCACGACGACGCAGTGCCAGAAGTGACAGGTTGGACATTGATGGCTCTGCCGTCATGAAGGCTGGGAATCACCAGACTCCCATGCAGCTACTAGCAACGATACACCGGTACAGTCATGTGCATGTATTTCACCGCTGCCGACTTTGCGTAGTCCGCGCACGGTTTCGTTCTTTTTGCTGTGCCAATCCACCATAATTATGGAGTTGCCAGAATCAGCTACTGTGTTTATGAAGTTTGTCATGGCAGCCCCGAAGTACGCGTGGAGCTGGAATGACAGTTTTTTTCTGCCCCGCACACATTTCAGGTGTCACATTTTGACAACCAGTAGCTGCTGGGAATGCAATCGCATTATGCAGCTGCACGTGACATAGCCCTTTTGCTCACACCCAAATCTTCCGATTCCAGGGAATGAGCTGACAGTGGACGTCGACGGCCTAACGTAAAAACAAGGTACCACCGCGCCTAGGGCACACAAAGGACTTGTACCCTTGCGTAAGTTGCGACAACAACAACAGTTACGACTGCTACTACAGATACATGGTAACGTGAGACAAACAGCACCCAAGTTACAGTATGATAGGACCATTCAAAGCTACGCGTAACTCAATTCCGCTTCATTTTAGACCAACCGAACAAGCGTGGAAGTGAAAGACTGTGTTCGCTCGATTGTGAACGGCACAGCCAGAAACCTATGCTTCCAGTGATCACCAGATTGGTAGAGCAGGCAGTAGTGGGAGGCACCGTCGAAGATCTCCGCTATGGGTGCACGGTGAGTTGACTTTGGTCGAGACGTGTGCTGGGAATTGGTGAGTTTGAAGATGTCTGATAATCCAGGTGTCAAATGGCGCTTTTTTTCATAACGCGGCACTAAATCGGAAGATATCATCCGCATTAAATTGTAGTTTACTCGGAGCATCTCCAAAGGTAATGATTCTAAACACAATCTGCGTGCAGGTCCACGGAATGTCACTGGCTTAGAGAGCAGAGTTGAGACTCATAATTATGCCATGCATTTTGTACCCCCATGTCGCTTTGTGGGGCAGTCACAGCCGGTAGTGCAAAGAGGTGGAGAGGATGTGTCAGCACTGATTCTAGCCGTCTTCATTTCTTTGCGTTACAAGCGAGTGCTGGGTCTCTGAAATTTGAGCGCATTGAGCATGGCGTGATTTCAGCTGCCCCCAGAATAATTCTGTTGTGACTCAGGCTGTTACTGTATTACACTACGGCTCGCCGCTTGCGTTTAGCTCGCGTTTGATCAGATTTTGACGGTTTTGCGTCACGCGATCCTAACTCGAGCCGTGCGGTGATCAAATCCAGGCTTGGGTTTTCGGGGGCAGTTATAGAGCAAGGAGGGGGTCAGCTCGTTTCACAAAACTTCCATCTACGTTACTACTTATCGCTGTTCTCACACTTTACCATTTTAGCAGCTTGCATATGCCATTGATATATGTGGAAAGCGCGCATTTGCGCCATTTCTGGTGTATAAGAATGATCATTCCTCCATTATCATCATTATTATCCTCTACTGATGAGCTCCGACAGGGAGTGAAACAGCTGTCTAGAGGCGTGGAGCAATATTGTCTCTCAACGGAAGTGTCCTTGCTGGTGTCTGTATGGTTCGGCTGAAGAGCGCGTGGTTGTGATGAGTTGGGAATGCAATGAATTGAAAATATGGCCGAAAGCTCTGTCGCAATATTTACTTTACCACTGTTGTTACAATATCACGCATATACCATACCTGACGCTGTGAGTGACTACATTTAAAGTAAAGGGCATTCCTAGCTTTCCATTGAAGGTCCACTTTCAGTTGAATTGAGTAACATCACACGAAATGGCTTTCGAATCAGAGATTTCAATAAGGATAGGAAAACAGCGAGCGCAGTCATTCGCAGACACAGCAAAATGCCGTTATTTGAAACGTTTTCTCGTGGCTATATACAGGAAAGATTCACCACAACGAATTCCAAGAAAGCCAGCAAGGGGAATATAATTGTGAAAAAGGAGGAGAAATTCACTTTAAGAACACAGCAAGGAGGGACAATTCTATTACAAATTGTCCCACGGTGTAAGGGTGAAAAAGAGTGGAGGGTTTGAAAGTCGGCATTACATATACGTGCATACATGTAGGTGGTAGGTGAGAAATGTGAGAGCAGCTACGCGTTTATTCTGAAGGCATGCATCTCGGTTGGGTTGGCGTATGAAGATAGCTTCTAAAACATGAAGTTGTCGGACAATACTGTCGTATCGTACAAGAAGCATCAGTCATCATAAACAACGCTGCACTGGGGGTTAGACACGTGCTGACTTACGAACATCAGTACGGACATCATGGTTCATACCAGGCGTCACAGCTTCATCACTCTCACCCTCTCCGCTAACATACCAGTGGTTGCATTTCTTCTCTTGACTTTACATGCAGGCTGTGAAGGTCTTGACCAGCGACACGACTCTTCCCCAGTGGACGTACCATTGTTCATCATGGAAAATCCTCTCAAGTTATGCATGGTAGGTTACGCACGGCACCAATTTGCAAAATACGACAATTTCCTTTCAGTTAAGGGACAATTGTAAGGAGGAGGTCACCATCTTGGGGTACAGTGCGTAGGTGTGTTGACATTTTGAAAACCTACCTCTGAATTCGAGCAATTGATGAAAATCCACATGATCAAAACTCGGACGTTGAGCCAGTCCCATCAAAAAATTAATTAAAAATGAACCATGTCGTGTAGTTCCTGGCCCACTACGATTGCTGAAAAAACGCCGATTAATTAAAACAGCTCCTTTTTGAAAATGTTTTCAATGAGTGATGTGTCGCTTTATTTTGCTCTAATTGGTGCTTTTCTCCAATGTCATGCAGTCATATTTATTCAGCTTTTATTTCTTGTGTACTTGCGTACTGGTATTAGTTTAGTCCCACAACCTGCGATGAAATGATCAGCTGTAGCACCTACTCCACTTTTATGTTTATGTATGTATGTCATTCGGATCTTCCCAAGTCGCACATTGTACTGTTGAGATACCTAATTCAAATAAATCAATATCATACCATGGTTTGATGTGCAACATCTTGGAGCTCTGCTCTGCTCGGTGTCTGAGAATGACAAGTTTGACTCAGTGTTCCTGGCGGTCTGATCGAGCTGTTGATTGCTACGTAGTCGACATATATGCGTGATTTATCGACCACCCAATTTTCTATCTGGGATGTGTACTGAAATGTGCATACTGGTCTGGCATACGAAGTAGTGGTTGCGACTTCGGCGATGACTTGTAAGAAAGGGTTTGCTCCCCACACCGGAGCTCGCGCTATTCCGCCGACTTTACTTGACACTTGACTGACTCACGACTGCCATCCAGAGCACACGAGAAGTCCATCGAACCTTCGACTCGGCAAACCTGCAAGAAAGCACCACTCCCTGCTCAATACACAGTGTTTCGGGGAATTCACCCTTCATCAGTTGAGCTTGAGTAGGCTGAGGAAGATTGTGCCTGAATAGCACCACTTATATAGTGCTCTCCAGGCACAAACATCACCAGGGATACAAACTTACAGAGACACTCCGTTTCCAGCGCGACAAACACCTCGTGAACACCAGATAGCAGCGTGAGTCAGTGTCGCTCCTGGACGGTGAGACAGACGTCGAGGACCCTCGGTCATTCGCGGTCTGGCATACATACATGTTATCAGACAAATAGAAAGCCGACCGATTGACCAGTATTTTTCTGTTCATGTTACCCGAAACAAAAGACTTATACGGTGCGCCTAAGTTTCAAATTCTGAATAACACTCCACCAAGGCAACGATATAATTATTATTCAATTAGAGAGTGCGACAAGGCACACAGCTGATAGGGATACTGTGACATTCAACGACATGACGCTTACAGCTCCAATGGAACTACTTCCTCCGCGTCATAATATTGTCGCTTCCTAGAGCGATTTTTCAAATTAAATTTTTATTTTGTCCACTCGAAGGGCAAAGAAATCAGGTAGAAGTGGAGGGAGAGTATTGTCGACGGACCAAGCTTTAGTTTGTGGTCTCCGGCTTCGCTGCACTTGCAGCCAAGGTTGACGTCTGCATCATAGTTTGAGGCAGACCCTTCAGCACTCGACAATACGCTGAACAAGACGCGCGTTCAAATTCAGGTCAAGAAATTTCTTTTCCAAGCCATCCATGAATCCAGGCGGCAGGCGATGAACGCAAGCTAGCATTTTTCTAGTACACTGTAACGACCTTCCAGCGGGATAGGGTAAGCATTTCCGCACCTTCTTTCCTTGGCAAGCGCTTCTCTGATTTGTTGGTGTTTTCCTACCTGCTACCTTCGCAGCAACATGCGCCATTCGTAGCGCATTTTAGAAATTTGAGAAACACTTTCTCCTTGCCATCGTCAACTTCAGCATTTCGAATTGAGGAGAGATACCAGGATTCTTATACCCGAGCTTGCAGTCTTGATAAATGCCCACGCGAACGATGTGGGACGGCACGAACACCAGAAAAACGATACGCGCTCTGGGGCTGAATAGTTCGCAGCGGGATGAATTTGTTTGGTGCGGAAGAGAGCTCCGACAAAGTCTGAGACCACCACGGCTTCAGTAACAAGTAGACATTGCGCTGGAAGGGTCGCACCAATGTTCGAACAAAATAAACAGCGATTCCGACAGTCTGAATATTCTTGACAGTTTTGTGCCTTTTTGTGCACTACTAAAGTATCTGACTGCGTAGTATATTCTTACCTTGGTGGACTGTTGGTCATAACTCGTAACTTGTTGGACCTTTCTCCTCACTTAAAATTCACCACGGGTCAATTCCTGCACCCTGTATTGAATCAACACCGGAGGCTTGGTGGAAGGTGGGAATTTTCACGATTGCATCTTTGGTGTGTCTGTGTTTGCACAGGAGTCACGTTTTGTCGTCTGCAGGATTGTTGCTCTCCTGCTGATCATAGCAGCGTGCACCAATGCACAATGCCCTTTTCCCTGTTCCTGTACTGGAGTGACAGTGGACTGCTGGAAGAAAGGTTTCACGTCTGCACCAACTAGCTACCCGCCGAACACAGAAATTTTGTAAGAAAAGTATTAGCCAGACTCATATCAGTTTGCATGCGCCTGCATATTTTTAAGTCCGCACCAATTTGCGTCGTACTGTCCCATTCATTGTGAAACGCCATGATCGACAATGCCTTGTTATTTTGTACATGTATTTGGAGGAAACCAAATTACCACCAAAAGAAGGGATTAAGCTTTCGCAACGTTTAATATTAAAAGGTATTTGTTACCAGATTATTCAGCCTCGTCCATATTTACTTGAGGCAACAAACTTAGCTGAATCAAACACTTGGAATGAATAATAGTGGCAACAACATGTTGTGTAGCACGTCGCATGTGCCCTTCCCGGAGCTGCAAGATTTGAGTTAGCCGTCAGATGAGAAAAAGGGGCCTTTCGTTATTGACGACGCGATGACGTCTCGCGGCTTCACAGTAATCCCCAGTCCGTTGTGACGTAGATTCACTGATTAGAGTAACAAGGAAATCAGTTCTGAACAAATTCTGTCAGTCTTTCTCGTTGTGCGCCCTAAATTCATCGTTTACATCATACAGGCTGTACTCATGCTTGTCGACACATAGGACATGTTAACAGCTAAACTAGTCCTCCTTGTGCCTGTATAAAAGCATTAATGATCATGTCATTCTATTGCTTTGTTTTCATCCAGGGATTTGTCTCTGAATAGCATCAGCAACTTGCAAGGCACTGAGTTTGATGGTTTGAGGAATATGTTATCTCTGTAAGGCTGATACTCATACACCTGTACAGAAGTTTAATTCAGGCTTGGATACGCCAAAACATGAGCTTTGACAAGTAGTCGTTTCGTTTGAGAATCTGTGTTTCCAAGGATGGTAGAGGAAAATTGCCATCGTGTTTTGCCATACCGTTTAGTTGTCCTATTCTGGACATTCCAGATCCAGACAACCCATCTCCCGAACATGTTTACGAGCTCTCTCGAATCGCAAGTTTTGGCGTTCAGCTAAAAAAGTCACCGAGAAATTTTCTTTGGAGCTGTTTGCTTAAAGGTCATTGGAATGTATGTTCCAGAGTATGTAAGGCGCAGCCCCGGTTCCAATGGCACATAGGGGTGAACCATATATTGTAGTACTTCAGTACAATATATCTGCTCCGATAAGGCGATTACGGTGATTATGGTGCAGATACTTTTGAAGTATGAAGACAAAAGAAGGATCAAAGCATTCTTCTCACAGGTCACTCTAGAAGAGTGCTTGCAGATATTAGAGGAACAATGTGACACATCTCATGTCAATGTACATGTGTTCATGCCATCCTTTTTTCGGATAATTGCCAAGACCCTATCCCCGACCGACACCTCCCCCTACCTGCACGTCTCCCTGAGTGCAATTGCAAAGAAGTAATTCACTTTATGTCTGACTAACTCAACACTTTGGGTACCAGTTTAGAGTACTTCTTTGTAGCATGCAACTGCACCAGGGAGTTGTTTGGCGAGAATTTTAGTAGAAAGGCCTACAGTTCACAGAGACTGGGGAAACGTTCATGCTAGGTCTGAGAGGGACTGGTGGCATCCCTTGTAAGATTACCTGTCACTGTTTTTTCTTCTACCGTAGAAAACTTCAAGGCAACTCAATTTCCAGCCTGCCTGTAGGCATTTTCAAAGACCTAGCAAGAATGGAAACTCTGTAAGTATTTTCGGACCTAAAAGCACCCTAAGCTCCCCCCCCCCCTCCACCCACCCTTCCGCTCCCATCCAACTGTCTAACAATCTCGTCTCCTGCCTCAGTTTTTTAAATGGTATTGATGACCTCCCTGTGCAAAGCAAAAGGTAAAGGAAAATTGAGTACTGAAGTAGGACTTAACACACTCTTAAAATGTGCTCAAGCAGCGATACTCTGGCAATATCTTTTTTACTCTTGAATTTTTTTGTAAAAAGGCGCGGCGATACACATTCGGGAAAATACGGCATACCTGTCCCGAGAATGAGTGTGCATTACTTTAAGAGTTTGTTCGTTCCATGTCTACATTCCCTAGAATACACGCGCCTCACGTGATCTATCGCAACACTAGCATTGGACGATGCCAATCACATTGTGACTAACGCGAAGTCCTCCTTTTGTGTTTTCATGTCCAGAGGATTGCACATTAACAGGTTGCCGTCCCTGGCAAACAATCCGTTCGCTGGTTTGAGAAACCTGAAAACCTTGTAAGACTGACATCATGGAGCAGATGAGTGCTTTAGATGTCCTAATTAAACAGTATTATTAATTTAAAAGTTTTGCACGAGTCACAGAAAACCACGCGTCTTGATTGTGGTAACTTAAAGTTTCATGCCATAATTATAGCAATCTTCAGACAACTGATTACAGTGATGCACAGCTAGTATGGTATTTATACAGCAGCATAGGAAGGAATCTGTGAAGGTTTGAGGTCTGGTGGGTGCAAAAAGTCCTGGATGGAAAATGTGCCAAACTCGCATGGTCCTAGGCATGGGCGGGTAACGCTAGCATTATGGCTGGCATTATAGTCCCTCTTTTCCAGGTGGCATAATGCTGGCATTATAACACCAATTCGCATGCGAAAGTGGCATTACAAACATAATTGCCGGTCGACAACGAGGTCATGCATGAAGCTGGCTAGGTCCAGTTCCGAAAATCGTGCATCTGAACCCGTCCGGCTTCGTCCGGAGACTTGACGTTGCAAATCAACCTTCTCAGTGGATTGTCAGTGGAAGCTTCCTCCTTGCTGTTTAAAATTTTTTCTTCTATGCGTTGGCCTTGATCCAAGACGGCCTTCTTAAATTGACTTTTCCAACTTTCAAACTGGCATTATGGAGTAGTGTAAGCATTATAAGTGGCATTATACTCTCATATTATGAGCATTGGCTTTAGCATTATCGCAGCAAATAACTAGCATTACCCGCCCATGACTACATGGTCCGTGAGTGAGAAAAGAAATATGATATGGCAGGAAGGCTAGCAAGGCCGTGTGAAAGGATGATAATGGTAATGTGGCTTGCCTGCAATCACAATCATGCAGGTGCAAGATGCCACACACTTTGGTAAGCGCTTAAAATAATTTGGAGGAGAGGAGATACTTGCTCTTCAATGCACCAACAAAACAGGTGCAAGATGGAAATTTCCACGCGCTGTGATGGCTATAGGTGCTGAGAGTAGGCAAGGAACATGAAAAGAAAAGACCATGATGACGTGACGTCAAGCGAGGCTATATGCAAGATACCACACCCATAATTAGAAAGGTTGCAGACGGGTGCAAATGGCTGTCGCGCGTCATGTGGTTGCAAGTCACGTGACTCCGTACCCACCAAGCAGGAACTTGGCGGAGTGCCTGCACTTTGATACGAGCTCCGTTCGCTTGTTGAGGGAGGTGCTGCGATCGGATATGCTGATGTGATATTTCTCTGCGATACATAGGTTGCAACGCTTTGTGACATCGGTGTAAGCCCGTGCACGTTCCTTGATGGACCAGCCAATCTCATAGGCCTTGTCTGGTGTTTTAGGCTCCAGACATACTTTGCCAGCTCCGTACTTGCTTTAATAAAGTTTTGTATAGATCGACTCCGATGGACCGGAAATGACTAGTGTATGGGAACATCAGAGAACCAAGGAACCACAAGTTACGCTGTGATATCCAGTAGCACCACAGGTTACTTGACAAGTAGCTCATGTGTTAACATTGCACGACCCTGACCAATCCTTCAACAAATAACTAGCAATCAGCTCTTGCACGTCTTGGAGGATCGCTCCAACAGCCTTCCAACTTGGAAAGTTCTAGGCATAACAATAGCATAGGAAGGGAACGTGCTCGCAACCGAGACGCGCAAGCGTCATGGGAAAAATTCCTGCCTTTGCAGAAACTAGAATGAAGCCACCACGAAATGCTACTTGCCGAACAAAAGCCCACCATGACGAGAAACAAGAACTGCTCAACAACAACAAATCAGCAAGGACTGCAACAGTAGCGCAAGAGTCGGCAAGACGGCCCAGAAGTTGTACGTGTAGATCATCTGGGCATCTAGTGCACGCGCATTTCACATGCGTGCCACGCTCCAATCTAAAATCTCAAAATTTGCTAGAGCCCACGTCTACTTCCGGTGCCCGCGCTGTTACATCATACGTTTTCAGGTACCGGAGGGCCGCGGCTGTGCCGTAAATTGAAGTCAGTGAAGAGAATATTTGGATTCTTGATTTTCCGGCTGATGATGCATGGTATACACTCGAAATCCTCGACTGGAGTGCACAACTCTGGACTAGCCATTGGCGGACTATGCTCGGCCAATCGTCAAATAATGCTTTTGATTATGCCACAATTATGCCAACAAATATGCTTAATTATGCTCGGTTCCACTATGTATTCACGCTGTACATGGAGGATTGAGAAAACACGCATACACACACGGCCATGCCCTAAGCATAATATTTGTCTAAACCGAAAGATTATGCCGACCTTACACGTTGGAATCCGTATGTTATGCCGGAGCATAATTTTTTGACGAAATCCCAAGACTATGCCAAATATTATGCCGGCATAATCCGCCAAGGGCTATGACAAGGAGTCGTAACTGGGGTATTAAAAAAAAAACATCTGCAGGCTTTCTGACAAACCTGTATTATGCCCCTAAGCATAATTTTTGTCTAAACCAAAAGATTATGCCGACCTTACACGTTGGAATCCGTATGTTATGCCGGAGCATCATTTTTTGACGAAATCCCAAGATTATGGCAAATATTATGCCGGCATAATCCGCCAAGGGCTACTCTGAACTGCGATGTCTTGATTATCACTACTGGTACGACGAGACATCGATGCATAGGTGAAACTCAAGTGCAATGCTACTAGTGGACGACTCGTAGGCATTTTCCTAATCGGCCGGCCGAAAAATTGGCCGAAAACAATGGTTTTGAAGGAATCACTGATCTTTTCGCCGATTACGCAATTTTCGCACTGAATTCGCCGAAAATTGATGTCGGAGGGCCTCAACAGCATGCAAATACAATTTCTGTTGGCATTATGATGAATATCTGCGAAAGGTGACTGCAACTTATGGGCATTTCCGAAAACGGTCAGCAGTAAAAGACGCCGAAATCAATGGCTGTCAAGAAATCGCCGACACTTGCACCGAATTTACCAATTCCGCGCTGAATTCATCGAAAATGAATGTTCTAGTGCCTCTACAGCGCGTGTAAAGTAAACGTACATCTACACTGCGAGAGGTAGGCAGATGCGGATAATGCCGGCAGCAAAATTGGCAGAATTCGATACTTTTTCTGGTAAGTTTCATGCATGTTTGGTATGTGGATAAAGAAATGGAGCAGAATTCGAGGAATAGGGCTTGAAAGTGATAATGTCAAAACGGCCAGGGAGTAGTAAGTTGACATCAGATTTCTATTTTTGGATCCACTAAGGTGTGACTTTGCTATTGCCTAAGTATGTGGGTGCATAGCAACCCACTCATGTCGCATGCAGGTGTGACTTTTATTTCGCCACCAGTTGTAACCCCGCCCCCAGTAGCCAAGTCAGTCAGTTTCACTGGCTACATCAGCATGCTGTGGGTAAGACCGATTGAAATGTGCTTGGATCCATACAAAAACTGGATCCAAGTGGATCCAGTTTTTGAATTTTTGAAATTGTTGCTATGCTGTGACTTAGCACTTTCAAGCCCTATTGCCCGCTCTTAAAGTTTGTATGGTTCTGCCAATTTCACTGCTTTTCTGGCAGATTCTGCTCGAAAAGCAGTTGTAACCCCGCCCCCAGTGGCCGCCATTGGACAGGTTGAATTGATCGACTCGTTCGAGTGACTCAGCAAGTCGCCAGTCGAAAATTGGACGGCTAAGCATTACTAGGTAAATGGGATCGTTGTCTTTTTTGAAGGTGTTTCAGAGCGAATATTTGGCGATTTTCTATATTTTGGGCCACATCTAAGGAACACAGCGTTTCTGGACCAAACCGACATTGGGCGCTTTCGATTATACGTTTACACAATTCTGGAACTGTTTTGTAAAATTCTGGAACGACCAGAATGAGCGTATTCCGGCCTTGTAAACGAACGACTGGAATTCACAACGCATTTTTTCATGTCATGTCACAAACGAAATTGATGAATCGCAAAAAGAGATCACGTACACCCTCGCGATCGATCGCGCGCACGTACGTGGACCTAGCATCGCGCACACGTCGGCCAGGGAGGCTCTTCGCGTGCTTGAGTCATGACCAAAGCGGTAACACACCGACAGTGCAATTCTGGCGCCAGAATTAGAGAAATCCCGCCTTCTTTTCAGAATTGATGGATTCAACGGAATTGGATAAAATCATTTCTAACGACGGAATTTGTCACTTTTTGTGTAATCGAACTCTGCATCAAAAATAACTAATTCTAGAATTGACCGAAATGCGTGTAATCGAAAGCGCCCATTGTGTTTGAATGTGGTCAACCCAGGGATAAAAGGAGCCAACTTACCGACTGACTCCTAATGTATTTTCGTTGTGTGAAAATAATCAGTGAAGCCTAAGGAAGGGTGCGTTCTTCTATTCGCCTGTCTCTTCTAGAAAAGTCTGCTAGGAAGAGAAGAGATGAGAACATTTTTTCGAACGTGTCAGAAGAGATCCAGGGATTTCTCCCAGTGCGCCTCGGCGAACAGAATTTTTTTCCAGTTTGTCACGGCACACCGGAAATTATTTTAAGGATGCGATTATCCAAATGCTTTTTTTGCCAGAAAACGACCCAAAGTCCCCTTCGTGCATGCGCAAGTATCAAAACGCGGGAATCCTCCACTTTCTTCCACCTCAAGAGCCGGAAGACCCAGCAGAGCTTGGCGAAGTCTGCTGGTTTTTGCAGATGATAAGTGAGCGCTCTTCCAAGTTTTGGAGATTTTGGCAGAGGATAAACAAAAGCACCATAAGAAAGCTGGGTGATTTGCCACTTCAGCGCCAACGTTCCGCGCGATCCATTTCACCGCCAGCACTTCAGCGCATGATTTCAATGCGCCACCTTCTTCAGCGCCGTGGTCAAGTACAGCACCAGCAACTCATCGCGAAAAAGTGAGGCGCGGTAGTTTACAGGGCGAAGAAAGTTCAGGGAGATAATGTATAGAGCGATAAAGTACACTACCTTATTAAAGGTTAGCGCGATCAAGTACAGTGGAGCGTGATCATAATAATACAGCCCGAAATCATAATCTTTTACACTCATATTCATTACAGACGCACAATGTCATGTATATGTTCGGTTGTTGGGAGACCTTCCACCGTTCACATGCTTGAACATTGTACAGCTGGCGAAATAGAGGGGACAGCACTTCAAACGCTCCGTCCATGTACAATTAATCATACTTGCCTACTCGCCATGGGGATGACCCTATAATAACGAGAGAGCTTGGAAGCTCAGGGCCCTACGCTATGCTTTTGTGCCTTGATGACCTAGACAAAAAAAGAGCATAGGGATGTTATAAATTCTTTAAAAAAATCCTTTTTTTTTAAGACATAACCTGGGATTCGAACCCGCACTATCGCGCGCCCTGCATGCATCCCCCGATACACTTCGCATACATACAAATTCTTCCAAGTTGTTTCACATTGTGATCTTGCATTTGAAAGCCCTATTTAAATATGCATTATGGCCGGCCGTCTTTGATGGCACGGTACGGTAGGGGATAGGTACGGGACAGGTACGATCGAGGGTAATACGACACCGTCTCCCGTACCGTACCGTACCATCAAACACAGCTGGCCACATACAGCTGCCCGCAATATTCAAATAGGGCTTTCAAACGCAAGATAATAACGTGAAGCAACTTGGAAGAATGGGTATGAATGCGAAGTGTATGGGGGAATGCATGTAGGGCGATATTGCGGGTTCGAATCCCAGGATATGCCTAAAAAAAAATAGGAGAATTGAAAAATTTATAACATCCTATGCTTTTTTGCCGTCAGATACGGATAGCGCCAGGCGTGACACAAACAAACACACAAACAAACACACAAATACCAAATTAAAGCTGTGTGGACCCTGGCTAGCGCCAGACGTTACTGAAGTAACGTCTTCTGCATAGGTACGGGAATAAAATCCATTGGCAGCCACTGGCTATGCGACTCTGTTGTTGTTTGCTGTGTTGTATGGGCGGAGCACTAAGAACAAGAGAGAAAAGGACCTAGAACATAAGTTACAAGTTATGTCTATGATCGTTTGGTCGGATTCGAATCCAGATCTCAGATCCGTCAGATCCTTTAGAATCAACCGATCACTTTGTTTGGACCTTGGCCCCACCTTCCAACCCGGCGAATATTTAGATTGTGATAAAAACGATTCAAAGCCTCTCAATTATTTTGTAATACTGCGCGTGATCTACGCATTTCTTCTTTGGAGCGCTGTGTGACACGTAGCTTTGCGTGCACCAGTGTCTTCGTTGTTGAGAGTTCTTGAGAAGACGAGCAAGTTGTCGTTTCGGTTTCTGATGTGCGGTGGAAAGCGTCTCCACGCGTACGGTGCGCATTTAGTTATATTCATTGCATTATAAGAATAATAATAATTATAATATACTTTCACAGAAAACAAGCTCGGTGCAGCACTAATCATGGGAGGGGAACCCGACCCTCCACCATCGCCAACTAACGAAGGATGTGACCTGGCCGGTGACGGGCCGACCGAGCACCCCTGACACACAACACAGCGGAACGTAGCAGCGCGAAAGACACCCTACAGGGATAGTAACCCATCAATGACGAATAGCTACCGTAGTTCCGCGCATATAAGCCCATGGGCCTATATCCGGATATAAGCCCTCCTCCGTTTATAGGCCCATGGGCTAATAAACAGACCCAAACACCGTAGTACAGCATGTCAGTGCAGACTACATTACCAGTACCGGTACCTACAGTAGGCGGACAACCGCGCACGGACTTGTACTTTTTCGAGTGCCAGCAGCCTTCAAAATTCGAATTTAAGCCCAGGGCTAAAACGAACCATTATTACCGAATCTTTTTCCCGGAAAATGCATTATTTCGTATATTAGCCCATGGGCTTATATGCGTGGAACTACGGTACCTCCCGAAGATTGAGATGTAAGCAGGCAAAGGCGCCTGAGGAAGGCCAATTTGCCAAGTTGACGAAGTAAAAAATGGCGCTGACAGGTCTCCGTAAAGAGCGAAAGGCGTTGTGATCGCACGAGTCGTACGAAAAGTCAACAAAAGTCGACTAGACGTACCACGATGAGTACAAATATGATTTTTACCCGACATATACGCACCAGGGTCACATGTGGATCCGACGGATCCAGTCAACCCTGCTCCCGGGGCAGAGTTGGTCTTATCCAAATCCGAAGGATCTGGATCTGGATTTGACCAATCGATCTCTGCAGATCCAGTGGATCCGACGGATCTGGATCTGGATCCAACCAAACGATCATGGCCTAACAGTCCATCAAGGTAACGGGGTAATAACACTCAGATAGTGTGACAACAAGAAGGGATGCGCCACGAAGATATGCACGAGCTTTGTCCATCGGCAACAAAGAATGTCGAACGTTGCAGGGTAATGTGTCTTGTTGTCGCACTATCTGACTGTTATTATCTTGTTACCTTGGTGGACTGTTAGTCATAACTAGTTACTTAGAGGTACTTTTCTCTTTTCATATCAGTATTGGCTCTACGTCCGAGTTTTTAAAAAGAGAGAAAAAGAAAACCACCCAAAAAAGAAAACAAACTGGTAAAAGAGCCACGCGACATAACAATTTGTTAGAGGCTTGAAATTGGGTACCGGTATATCCAGAATCGATTTACAGAAAAACCCCAGAAATGAAGTGTTGAAGTGACAAATCAGTGAAGAGTGTTGTACGAAAACTTATTTGAATTGTCTTTTTTGTGATGTTTTGTCTTTTTGTTCTCTCTCGTAATAGTGCATGCAGGTGTGAATTATTATCAGTTCTCAGCGCTCCTCATTTATTAACCCATCCTAACCGGTGTGCCCACTTCATTCCTCATGATGGTTATTTATGACCGAAACGTTGAATTGAAATTTTTTCCTGAAATGAATTTGTGAAAAGCATTGATTGAGTGTGAGCCAGTGTTGCTCACAAGCCAAATTTTTTCCATCTTTTTTTCTTTTAAGTCTTCACATCATGCACATGCATGTCGACAAAATACGAATCCTTACAACTAAATTAGTCCTCCTGGTGTCTGTATAAAAGTGTTTGACTATGCCATTCTCTTGTTTTGTTTTCATCCAGGTATTTGTTTAGGAATGTGATAACCTCCTTGCAAAGCAATGTGTTCAATGGTCTGAGCAGTCTAGCAGCCCTGTAAGATTGCTATACCTGAGTAGAAATCTAATCATGGCATTTATAACCCAAAACATAAACTTTGACAAGTAGTAATTTTGTTAGCGAAGATCTGTTTCCAAAGGAGATAGAGGAAAATTCTCCCCACGTGCTGCCATGCCGTTTAGCTCTCCTAATCCAGAATTTCCATATCCAGGCAACACTAACTACCGAGCATATTTCTGAGCTTAAGCTACAAAATGGCATCGGGAACTTTCACAAGACAAGTTTGCTTGCATAAATCACTATAATTATTATTATGTTCCTGGGTAACCGGCAACTACCGCTTCCTATGCATTGCCCGGACATTGGGGAGGTGTACATAACGTTACATGTACTGTGGTATACCTGTTTCGACCCGGCGCCCATAGTGCAGAGGACATGCTGATGAAGGCAACAGAACAATTCCAGCTTTCTTCTCACAGGTCACTCTAGAAGAGTGTTCACACATGTTAGAGGAACAATGCGATGTACATATATATGCAATTTCCAACAACTCTCCCCACCAAAAAAATCTCCTTGAGTGTAATTGCCAAGAATGAATTACGTAACTTCATGTACGACTATGTCCATATTTGATTGCCAGTTTAGTGTAGTTCCTTGGAGCATGCAATCACCTGTACCACTGATTTGCTCGCTGGGATTATTGTTCACATGTCCTACAGTCCACAGAGGCATTGAGGCTGGAGAACCCTTCATACAAAGTAAACGAACACTAGTGGTATCTTTTGTAAGAAAACGGTCCATCTCTGGTATTTCTGCCACAGACACCTTCACGACAACAAACTTTCGAGCCTGCCTGTAGGCATTTTCAGGGACCTAACAAGCCTGCAATATCTGTAAGTATTTCAGACCTTAAGGTACCCTCTCCTACCCACTTCCAGCTCCCACCCAGCTGGCTTACAATGGGCGCTTTCGATTACACGTTTACACCATTCTGGAACTGTTTTTTTAATGCTGGAATGACCAGAATGAGCGGATTCCGGCCTTATAAACGAACGACTGGAATTCACAACGCATTTTGTTCATGTTACTCATGTCATGTCACAAACAAAATTGATGATAAACGTAAAAAAAAGATCACGTACACCCTCGCGCGCACGTGGACCGGTCGACCCAGCATCGCGCACACGCCGGCCAGGGAGGCTCTTCACGCACTTCGGTAATGACAAGACCGGTGACACACCGACTGTGCAATTCTGGCGTCAGAATTAGAGAAATTCTGCCCTCCCTTCAGAATTGACAGATTTGACGGAATTGGATAAAACCAATTCTAACGATGGAATTTGTCACTTTTTGTGTAATCGAACTGTGCATCAACAATAACTAATTCTAGAATTGACCGAAATGCGTGTAATCGAAAGCGCCCAATATCTTCTTCAGCCTCTCAGCTAAGTCCGCTGTCACATCGAAACAAGCCACTTTGGAGCTTGTTATTGCTCGTGCTCAGCTGGCTTGTGTGCTCTCTGTCGAGCGGTCACACCCGACCTTGAGTGCAAAGATTGAATGGCTCGTTTTCCTTGCTCGCCACATTTTGAATATCTCGAAACACGCCAACGTTCGCAAGAGATCGGAAAGCAGGACGGTGGCGCTCTACAACTGTACTTGTTGTAAGGTTCAGTTTTGATGAAGAAGTAAGCCTGGATAGTGCTTTTTTTTTTGCTCGGCGTGCATGAACGCGATAATTCAGGTGGTGTTTCCTGATGTTGAGCTTTCGGCTCCACTGGTTGCTGTTCTTCAACTTTGTCGCAATCCACTCTCTGATTCGTACCCGGCTCTTGTCATGAATGCAGTAGTGAGTTGCGTGAGGTTGGTGCCTTTTCTCGGCCTCCAACCCCAGCACCATCAATCTACGCTCTAGAGGCACCGGCATTCCAGGTATCTATGGTCACAGGAAATCAAAATCGAACTGAACTGCTGGATAGACAGACACGCGGTCAAACCCAAAGGCAAAGGCATAACACGGAAACAAGAAAGAACATCGATAACATTTCCTCATTTCAGTTCCTCCTGTCCACTACATGGTGTGTTCCAAGCTCACTCAAATTATTGTTTGAATTTCTGGTTTCAGCCACTTGTCCAAGCTGTGGCTAAAACAAGCCAAAACGGATGAGAGTCAGCAAAGGCTGAAAGTCGCGGGCAGGGCATTTTCAGCCATTTCCATGGCAATGGTGTTGTAAATAATCGCCTTTTTCGGCTGAACGCCAGAATTGATCTCAGTGTGATCGCGACCTTAGTTAATAATAAAGCACTCTTGCTGATTTGTATCCAATTTACCTCTCCCCCCCCCCAACCCTAAAAAAACCGGGCTGTGTTTCCCCCGCAGTTTGAGTTCTCTGACATACACCACAGTATCTGCCTTAAAACAGATTTTTGTTCACAAGACTCGCTTCGACCAGGCACTATGACTATGAGCTCCACTGATGAGGTGCAGCAAGGTCTAATCAGCTGCCGAACGCGTATTTACCTGATTTTACCTCGCACTTGACTATAAGTCGAAACTCATTTCCAAGTCATCCAACTACAACTAGTTGTATCCATACATTCACATGAGTAGGGTATCACATTCGATTGTAAGTAGTAACATCTTCATTGCCCTTGACAGTTATTTAAAAATGTGTGAAATACATTCAGCGAAATACGGTATACCTCTCCGGAGAAAGAGATTGCGTTACTTTGAGAGTTTCCTCCTTCCCTTTTTTAAATTCCCTACAATGCACGCAAATCACTAGATCTATTACAACACCGGCATTGGACTACCGTAAAGTCTTGTATAAAAGCCGCACTTGAATAGAAGCCGCCCTCGAATAGAAGCCGCAACTTTGGGCCCATCAAATCACACAATAATAAGCCTGGTTTTAGTGTTAACATACATAGAAAAACCTGTCTTGTATAGAAGCCTGTCTCATATAGAAGCCTGCAAAATTTCACCAGGAGAGTCATAGAAGCCGCGGCTTTTATACAAGACGTTACGGTATGCCAATGGCATTGCGAATAACGTGAAGTCCATCTTTTGTGTTTCTATGTCCAGGGGATTGCAACAGAATAGCTTTCGGTCCTTGCAAAGCAATGCGTTCGCTGATTTGAAAGACCTGAGAAACCTGTAAGACTGATCGCATTGAGTAGACGTGTATGTGTGTGCTTTGGATGCCCAAAATCAAGAGTACTATGAATTTTATAACGCCTCGATAATACAGTACTGTACAAGCAGAAATATTCGTCTGGAATTTTATTTCGTCTTTGTCGTCCAAGGAGGTTTTCGACTAAATTAAGTGCCGGACTAATGTCGGTTTGTGGAAAGGAAAAGGACATATGGATTCGAGTTAAGAGTAACTCTCCATCACTGTAACTGGATACTATATACAGTCAGAAAGTGCAATAACTAGGCTCAAAACTGACAAGAGTACTGAGACATTCCTTTCCACATTTATTTATGGCTCAACATCCGAGTTTCAAATTGCACACCTAATGTCGATTTGTCCAGCTTTTCAATACACTCTTATGATTCATGGACGAAATTTATAACCAGACGATCTCCCTTTCTTTGGAGTTGGACGAAATTATTGACCGAAGAAAATTTCTGCCTTACAGTACTGGTCTACCACTATAACAATTTAGATGGACAAATAACAATTTAGATGGACAAATAACAATTTAGATGGACAAATAACAATTTAGATGGACAAATAACAATTTAGATGGACAAATAACAATTTAGATGGACAAATAGCAATTTAGATGGACAAATAACAATTTAGATGGACGAATAAGCTGCAGAAACTAGCAGCAGTTTTACACGCCGAATAGTAATCGTCGGCTAATCAAGCGTATAGAGATTGACCCCAGTTGGAGAGTCGCTCGGATGGATAGCCAGACATTGTTTGGAACACGTCCTTGAATCATGGGTTGGAGGTATTGTCCAAAGATCTTGCCAGTATAGTCATCAACATACATGTACATCCGCAGTCGTTTCTCACAGCTGACACATTCAGCTTGTTCTTGTCGCGTTTGCGTGCACCTTACCCTCCTACTTTTAGCGACCCTCACTGAGCTCCTCTCTCACTCTCCGTGCCTGACCCAGGCTGAGAATTTCTGCTTTTGCCGGGCGAACATTGATCTTGCTGTTTGGCTAGAGTTCAAAGTTTAGAACTGCTTTATATCGCAATCGAATCGCACTACTATTTTTTTCCTTGTGTGATAATATTCAGTGAAGCCGGATTACACCCCAAGAGTCTAAAAAAAAGCCAGAATGTGCGCAATGCTGAGCTCTGCTAAAGGGTCATGTACATTTCAGTACGTGTGTAGCAGTTTCATAGATCCACATCTAAGCGCAAAGTATTAGTTGCAGTAGAAATTTTTCACTTAAGAAAGACTTTCAGTGTTTTTGCCAGAAATGGATGGGGACAAACTCTTTTTTTGTTGCTTCCATGTTCTCTTCCTGCTAAGTCGAGTGGATCATAAAAACTTTAGCTCATCGACTTTCGGACCTGAAGAGGAGGGTGCGGCTGAAACCCCAGTGCAGTTTACACGTTTACAAAGCAAGTTTTGGAGACCAAGTCTTGCATACTGCCACAATGAGGACCAATTTAGCTGTGAGCAGCTTCTACTTGTCGGCATGTATGAGTAAAATATAAGCGATGATTGTAGGGCACACAACGTGAAAGAACAATAGGATTTGTTTACAACTTTATTTCTTACAGACATCAGTGAATCTACGGAACAATGGAATGGGCACTTCTTGAAACTATTCCTGTCTAGACAAATTGAAGGGAAAATGGAGGAAAGAGAGAAGCAAAAAAGTGATGATAATACACCACCCCAAAATTGTACTACATGGATACACCAGGAATGGCTCAGCAAAACATGAACAACTAAAATTGGAACATGGAAATTGTCCGCACACGTTAAGCGTTCTAGTCAACCAACTACACCAGATTTTGAAGTCAGACATGCACAATCTAGCACAAAATAGCAAGGAGCACTGAGCCGTGCAACGCTAGGAAAGTCAGCTTGAGCACTGCTCGATAGCGCTAACCAACGGCCTTCCAACTTGGAAGGTTCATGGATATTAGTGCTAATTCCAAAGAGGGGACTAGATTGTGCACGTCTGACTGTTCAAAATCTGGTTTAGTTGGTGGACTCGATCGCATAACTTGTGCCCACAATTTACATGGTCCAATTTTTCCTAGCCTCACCATTTGAGTTCTTCACGAACAACTAAAACAGTCGTCCTTGTGGCTGTAGAAAATAACTTTTGACTATGCCATTCTTTTGTTTTGTTTTCATCCAGGCAGTTACATGAGAATCAGTTCAGCTCCTTGCAAGGCAATGAGTTCGATGGGTTGAGAAATCTGACATATCTGTGAGGCTGATATACCTGAGCAGAACTCTAACTGTGGCAATGATACTATATAGCAGGAAATTTTCGGACGGAAATATTTTCGGACAAAGCCGAAATTCGACCTTTCGTACGGATTTTATTTTCGTACAGTGCTGCATACTGAATGCACGTGTTCGCAAGCATGCAGTACGCAGGTATAGTGTACATAATTTGACATGAGCAAATTTTAGTATGGAATTTATTTTAGTACAAAAGAGGCCGTGTACGAAATCGTACGAAAATAAATTCCTTCGGAAAATTTCCTGCTATACAGTACCCCAAAACACGAGCTTTGACAAGTAATCATTTCGTTTGAGAATCTCCGTTTCCAAGGATGATAGAGGAACGTTTCCACCATATTTTGCCATACCGTTTAGCTCTCTGAATCTGGACTTTCCAGATCCGGCAACCCCATCTATTGGGCAGGTTTCTGACCCCTGTCAAATCGCAAGTGTTGGCTTTTAAAGCTACCAAATGGCATCATAAAATTTTTTGTAAGACAAGTTTGCTTGCAGGTATTTAGTGTGTGTGTTCCTTAGTAACTGGCCTCCCCCAATTCCACTGTGCCCGGATGGTGGGAGGTCTACGTGCATGTGTCCATTCCATCCCTTTTTAGAATAACTGCTAAGACTTTACACCCCCACCTCCAAACCCACAGGTCTCCCTGATTGTGATTTTCACTAACGAATTCTCATTATTTTGCAACATTAAAGTCCAGATCTGGGTACCGTTTAGAGTAGATATTTGTAGCATGCAAACAACTGCACCAGGGAATTGTTTGGCGGGATATTGGTCACAATTCCTACAGTCCATAGAGGCTTTGAGACTGGGAAAACCTTCGTATTAAGTCAGCGAGGCACCAGTAGCATCCTCTCTAAGATGAACTCTCTGTCACTGTTATTTCTGCCATCATAGATTGCTTGAATACAACTCACTTTCCAGCCTGCCTGTAGGCATTTTCAAAGACCTAACAAGTCTTCAAAATCTGTAAGTATTTCAGGTCAAAAGAGCTCCTCCCCCCCCCCCCCCACCCAAACACACACACACACCCAGAACCACTTCCAGCTCCCTCCCAACTGTCGAACAATCTCTTCTCCAGCCTTCGTCTTAAAAAGGAATTGCATTATTGGTCACATCCCCTCATAAACTTAGAAGTTGTGACTTCGGTGGTATTAGTGGTGAAGTTGGTTGTTCCAACGAGAAACACATGCTTCCTGCTGAACTTGACGCTGGACTGACTCACGACTGCCATCCGGAGCACACGAGGAGCACGTCGCACCTTCCAATCGGCTGCAAGAAAGCACCTTTCCCTGCTCAATACACAGTGTTTCGCAGAATTCACCCCTCATCAGTTGAGCTTATTGTTATTATTATTAGACACAATCTCATAGCATGTGACAAGCATAGCTAATGCAGGGACAGAATCCCCTGAGACAAGGGCGTTGAGCCAGCCACGGCAATAGTAAGCTAGCAAAACAAAGCAAATATGAATTAAAGCAGAAAATGAATGGAAAATTACAAAGAAAAACGATTAACGGAAGTGAGCACTATCAAAATTCGGGCATCACCCAGGTATTCGAGAATGTTCTTCGATGATAATTATTGCGTCTAGTTCAGTTGTGATAGTACATCTTTAAACTGACCAATAGAAGAACAAGTTTTCAGACCGTATGGTAATGATAACCAATGAGAGTAGCCGGAAAACAAAGGGGACTTTAGATACTGGGCTGACTTAACAAGAGGCAGGATGAGCGCGTTACGGGTTGAGCTTGTCGAAAACCAATTGTACTTCATCATGTGTGAAGGGGTTTTGTGAAGAAATATTTTATGAACCAGTGTAGCTTGAGTAGGCTTAGGAAGAATGTGCCTGAAAAGCATCAATTATATAATGCTCTCCAGGCCAAACCATCACCAGGGATAGAAACTTACAGAGACGCTTCGTTTCCGGCGCGACAAATACCTCGGGAGGCCCCAGGTAGCAGCGTGAGTCAGAGGCGGTAATGGAGTTTTGCTAAACAGATTTTGAGAACCAGTAATTATTCAGAGCGCTTTCATCTCCCAACAACTAATCCTACATCCGCGTGAGGGAAAACAATACGAACTTCGAAGTTGCTACTTCGGCTGTAATAGTGATCAATTTGGTCAAGTGTCTACTTCGGTAAGAAGCATGTGTTCTCCTTTGGTACTTGGAACAACCAACTTCATCACTAATAATCGCACGTGCACCCGCAGGTCGGAAACTGCCCCCACTGGAGCTGCGCACTTGCATTGTGGTTTGCCCGTATTGTCCAATGCCCTTACCAGTATCGCCATCAACCTACACATACACCTGGCTAGGTTCTTCACTTTCAGCTTATGCTTTTCTTGGCCGCACGCACCTCACCCTCCTATTTTTGTTCCCTGGTTCTTTTTCTCTCCTCTCCTCCATGCGCTCTCACAGCCGACTCACTGCTACCCCATTGGCCGAATAGTACCGTTCACCATTTGAAATGGTTCTTTTTCGTTCCTGTATTATAATCTGATATTTTGGAACAGAATAATCAGACCTTGCACACAAAATAATTACCGGTATCTGGTTTGAACAAGGATTGTCTTGGTTGAAGACGCGGCAGGTGTTTCGTGAGGGCGACCCTCTCTTATACCCTCTCTCTCTCTGCATATTCTTTCCCTGCTTAGGCGAATCCGCAACAACAACCTCGTGTCATTGCCTATCGGGATTTTTGACAGTTCACCAAATCTTTCCGTTATGTAAGTGAACAAATGTCTGCACCTGCGGGAGGGGAGGAAGAGGGGAGGGGAGGAAGAGTTTGGGAATGGGTTGGGAAGGAAGGGCCATCTTTTCTTTCATTTGTTTCTTGGAACAGACCAGTGTTTGCAGGACACTCCACTACTACAGATATGAAAAAATCACAGTCACCACTCCCGCTGCATAGCTCGCTGGGTATTCCATTGCTTTGTAGCCTGCTAATCCCTACCCCTTCTGTGTACGTGCTTTCTTTTTTCCTTTTCTCTTCTTCCGTGGTTTCGTTGCACCCTCTTCTCAATTCAATTGGCTGTCTTAACATGCCACGAGGTGCAGATATAAATAAATATAATAAGATGAGGAAGAAAGGGGAATTCCCTGTGTTGGCTGCACCTCTCCAATGTAGAGTTACTTGCTAGCTTCCTTGGTACTGCCTATAGAGAGGGCTACACAATTGGACTGATCCAGGGCCAAAAATAATTTTCACCTTAAAAAATGGGGTACTATTAGTACCCCATTTTCACCCTGCCCGTAAAAATGGGGTACTATTAGCCCAGAGTATTAAGCGGCAGTCTTTGACAGTCGTTATTTTCCAAGAAATCAAGCAGGCTCTTAATTGCTCAACGTTTCAGACCCGTTCCTCAATACTAGTACTCTAACATGTACACACTCAAGAGCACCGGCATTGCAATGCCACCTTGTCATGCATGAAGTAGCACGCATGCACACCACTCTCGCACACTTGTGGGCTACTGATGGTATGTCGCACAGGCCAGGGAGGGAGGGCTACTTTCATACGTAAATCTCTCTACGGATTTCTGTAGGAAACCTCTTTCCTACGTTGGGTCCTCCGTAGGACTTTTTGAAATGGTGTCTGCGTTTTCTGGACTTATCCATGCCAACGTTCAAGCCGCGTGAAACACAAGGTACTCACACCGTACACCACGTGAAAAATAAAATGTAAACGCGATCTCGGTTCTTGGTCCATGCAGTGGACGCATGCAGCCAACCCGTCTCCAAACCACCAAGGCATGTTTAGCAGTCGTTGAGAAATCATGTTGAGCGAAACCCTACCAGCGCTGGTTTTCACGTATGAAAACTACATGCAGTTCCTACGTTATCAATTTTCCATACGTAATTCCGTAGAGGGAAACCTCTCTATTGTCAAGATTTGTGGTGTTAATACACTTAGGCTTGCTGTTCAATAGACATGGTCAGCCTTTTACCGTTCACGCTAACTTCGACCGTCCGTCAGCCTGTACCGGTTTGTGTGTGTTTTCAAGACACTGGTTAGCAGTTCTGTTTCTGTCGCAACGATCGACTTGTGACGTAACCCTACTTGAGTTCTCCCGCTAAACAGAGCTTTCTATCAGCGTAACGGTACCAAACCAACGGTATTTTGGGTGTTGGGCATTGAATACGTTTGGACTAAGCGTGAGCGGTAAAATGCTACACACTACACACACATAAACGGCACTGGCCGACCATCGAAAATAGCATGAACGGTAAAAATGCTAACCATGTATATTCTTTTCAAACCATCCCTTTCTTTTGTTACGATTGGCCCTGGTACATAATTTTTCATTGTTCCTGTCATGTGTTATTGTTATCTCTCAGGAGGCTTGAAAACAATCGGTTCACACTTTCAGAGGACTTGTGTAGCCTTGCATTTGTACTGCCACTCAGTACAAATGCTGTGACTGGTTACTCAACCGTTGACCAGAATGTTCTCACCTACGTCACCAATAGTGAGTTTCACATTTTTATGTCTATAACCGCTTCGCAGTGAGTGCGTTTGTTAAAACATTGAAAAGCTCACAATGTGGGTTTCTTCTCGTTGTGCGCCACCAACGCATATGGCCGATTGGTTTGCAGGCCTGCCTGCGAGTCATGAAGTCCCGAGTTCAAGAACAGCGCTGGTAGCAGGGAGCATGTAAAAAGACATTTTATGCGTGGTGAACTGTGCCGACACCCACGGTCAACTGGGTACTCACAGCTCGGAGTGAGAATAACAAGGATACAGCTTACAGGGTTATGGGCCGTTACACGCCCGATTGGATGAGAGACAACCTCCTCTCCCCTGAATTACTTGTGAGGTCTGCATTCGCCACTGAGGTGAACTGGCATAGTGCACTAGTGGTGGCCTGCGGATGCGAAGGCTGGTTTGTGTGTTTCTGAACATTCAAGCGATACCGACGCGGATCCCGCGAATATTATTCTCGTTGTGCAACACGGCCACAGAGGAGTAAAATACCCATATCGTACTACATGTATTCACTTGAGAGCATTGAGTAGTATTGTGTACATGTAGATATCCTTGTTGCTAAAGTCGGGCTTGGTGATTTGGACAACGGTGAAATGGTTTCCGTTTAAACACTCAACTTTAGAAAATTTGGAAGCATGACCGGCTCGGCTAAGTTCACCAGGGAGACACATAGGGCTTACCAGTGACACATGTGACTCCAGTCTTCGAACTAAAGCCACTGCACAAGCTAGCTGTAAACAAAAATCGACCATCTTGATTCGTTTCTAAAACAAGAACAAAATCAGCAAGTTGTAGTGAAATGACCTAGATCCCTGGAGACTTTATAACAAAACAGCTGGAATTCCTTCGATACAACAATGTAAAATCTCTATTGTCATGCCTTTCTTTTCGTCCTGCAGATCTAATCCAAGTGAACTTCACCGCAACGCAGACAACCAATACCAGTGTCAGTGTTAATGTCTCATTGAGCAATTCCAGTGGCATCAGCAAGTGGTGTGTTGACTACACTCGCACTCACCTGGCTGGTGTTTCGTCTCCCGGAGCAAGGAACACAATATGCACAGGCAACATCACTGGCATTCTCGATATCACATCTATTGGAATGGATGCGACCTACTCTCTTGTTGCTTATGGATTGGCTCCTGGTGACAGCATCAGATATTGCAAATCACGATCCACAACAATTCAGATCCGTGAGTTGCTTTGTTGTGAAGTTTTCTTAGACACGGGTAGGTTTGCACTGGCAAAGGGCAAAACAGCTCACTAGTACATGTGCAGTTCTACGCAATGCTGTAGACAGCAAGCTGTTTTGGCCATATAGCCCTCATCAGTACAGCCATGAGCCTACCATAAGCTGAGCTTCAGGCCATGGTCCAAAGAAGGCAACACAGCCATTAGGATAGCTTGTTTCTCAAGCGCCAGATAGCTCTAACTACGAAAAATAGCTAGCGATGCATAAAGAAGCAGCACTAGAGAGTGCTCAACAAGACGAACGTCGAGTAGCGTAATACCCAAAGCTGTAGGCAGCAAGCTGTTTCGGCCCCATATAGGCCTCATCAGTACAGCTACGAGCTTTTAAAAGTAACCAGAGCTACCAGCCATGGTGTAAAGGAGGCACATCATTTTTATCTTAAAAGATAGTTCGTTGCTCGAGCGACAGAGTGCTCTTGGTACGCAAAGCAGCGAACAATGAGAGCGATGTGCCTTTCTATTAATAATAACATGACAAGCAGATTGTGCGTTTCACAGTGATTCATGGAATACGTTGGCAGGCGCGTACGCAGGGTCACCTCTAGGGGGGTTTCCAACCGAATCCCAAACATGGAGTTTTAATGTTTTAACCCTTTCTAAAGAGCCCTAGGAAATTTTCAAAATTATGCATTTTTTCGTGTTGTTTGGATCATAACTTCAGTTCTACTCACTTAATCTTCATTATCTTGGGCTTTCTGGAAGTGGAAAGGTACCAGGGAGAGAATGAGGTCGACCCCGATAGCTAGGACACAGTACAGTCATGTACATATCCAGCGCGGTAGAGTGCAGCGACTTTGCGAAAAATGCCCCAAACAGGCCCATACGCGTCCTGCTCCGGCGATTTCGTTTTTCTTGATCGCAGAGTTTCGATTTTTTTGCTGTGTACTCTTGAAAATATCACAAGTAAAGCCCCTGCAAATTTGAGCAAATCAGCACGACGAAAATCTCAAATTCTCGATACTCAAGTCGCACTGTGCGCTTTTGAATTGCCGAGATCGCGGCTCAACTTACGAATGATTTATCTCACGATACATTGCTTGCAGGGCTTCGCAAATTGTTTCAACCGATAGCTGAGAGTTTTCTATTCGACTTGGATATTTGAATCGTTGGATTTGAGCGAGATTTGACTGAGTTAAGATCTTTTGAAGTTTTGCATTCTTGCCAGATCGATCATGCGCCCTACCAAAAATGCCCAAAAACGTTGCTCGTTTGGAACATTTGGGGGGTTTCCGGGCAACGGGAACCCCCCCCCCTGCGTACGCGCCTGGTTGGAGTGTGAATTAACACAACTTGCATTTCCAAATGATTTACACTGCAGTTGTAGTGGATATTTCAAATTTTCAGCCAAAGAAACGAAAAGAAACCTGCGCTGTATGTCCAATGGAAGATTCCTTTGTTCCAATAGAATATTTCCGATTCTTGGTTTTTCATGTACTCCATGATTACCATGCCTGTGTGCCATCAGTTGTTTCTTTCAAAACCTTCGAGCCACAATTGTCCACTTTCAATGGTAAAAAATAGTCATGGACTGTACCATGAGGACGAGGGCCGAATATTCTCACGAGTGGGTTAGGACAAGGGAAAATTGGAAGGGACACAGGATACACGGAGTACGAATGGTACAATCCATTTTCACATGTACTCCAAAATAGAGCGTGACCAACACTGAAATATCCTTTACTCTTTGGACCCGGGGAATATTTTTGACCCCAACGGGGTATATCGCTCCTTATCACTCCCTTAGTATTGACTCCCATAGATTTTTGCTATGCCTACGCAGTCAAATATTCCTGTCTATTTCACTCCTTAGGGCTATATTGACCGCTTATATTTGACTCCTTTTTAGCGACTGAACACATGCTTTGGTTAGTCATGATAAATCTAATATTGACTTCGAACTTGGTCAGTATGGGAAATAAAAGACCTCGTCAAAGACCTCGGCTTCGTTTCGCTCTTTTACTCGGCTTTTATTTCCTATATTGACCTCATACTCAGTCAATATTAGATACATATTCCCCACTCAGAATGGCCACTGGTTGGCTGAAATCACCCAAATAATGTCGTACAATGGGATAACAAAATTTTCTTATGTGCTTTATTTTCCTGTCGCGTGCACAATAAGTATATGTTATCGCATGGTTGCAAGGGCCTTATGGCATATTATTGCCCCGAGAGGTTAGCCCGAGGGCTAACCTCGAGGGACAATAATATGCCATAAGGCCCGCAGCAACCATGCGATAACAAATTTATCACATGGCCCACAGAGCAGACCATTGGGCTGCTGTTGAATTTAGCCCAAATGCCAACACATTATGACCACAATGTATATTGATGTGCTATCATTATCAAAACAGGAAAAATGAAGATATTTCTCCTACACCCTAACAAAAAGTCTTCTACAGGCCATCAGAGAGTATACAGTACTGAAAGCCGGAGACAGAAAAAAAGTGCCGGCACCGCATCGTCATAGCAATAGACATGGCAACGACAACATAATTTCAATTGAAGAATTAAGAGTGCTACCACAAAGAGTTTCTTCATGTTTACATGTGTATCAGGAAGTTGTCAAATACAGTACTGGAACAAGTGCAAGTATTTGACGACTCCCTGGTGTGTAATTCTGAGGACGATTTTTCTTCTTTTTTTCAGCTCCAGATAGCTGTATTTTTCATTGCAAAACATTCCTGAATTGTTGTGTTTGTTGTTCAAGCAAAGGTGAGATGAACCTGGTAAGAGTTTTGCGTGGCACATGAAGACCACACACAGGCAGTGACTTTGCGAGGATTTGAAAGCGCACGACGCTGAGTTGAATTTGTGTTATTTCAAATAATTGTTTGTGATCACAGTACCACTTCGAGCAGAACTGAATCTTATCCACAAGCTTACCGACGGTCAGGCTGCCAACATGACTGAACAAATGATCCCTGCAAGCACCACACGGCAGACGTTCGAGGCCATGTCCATTGCCGGGATGTCCATCTCCAAAAAGAATTCCATCTTCGTCTCAATGCTACACTGTGACTCGTCGTAGAGTCGTACAGTCTACAGAGTCGCCGTACGATCGTAGTCACGCAATCACTGAAATAAACTATTTTTTTGCGGGCAAATAAACTATTTTTTTGCAGGTAATATCGCATATTATTGCCCGCGGCGCGAAAGGTGCTGATTCGCTGGAGTACGGGCAACAATCAACTGCCATGTGATAAACATTCTTTTCTCCTTTTCCATCCCCATGGATACATTTCCCGAACAGCTCACTGTTTGGCAGGAGATTAGATTTTTGAATTTTCGTTTCCAATGCAGCTCGCACAACTTGTCGGGCGCCAACTGTTCTAAATGGTATTCTGGTATCGTCATCAATTCCCAACATGATCGGTAGTAACTACACTGTGACGTGTAACACAGGATATGTCATGCTTGGACAGTCAGTTATCACATGCAATGACAGCAAGCACTGGTCTCCCGCAGTCCCAACGTGTCATTTAGGTAAGACTCTGGAGCGCTTTGGTGTGAATGACTAACAGTGAGGGTGAACTTGTGGTAGTGAGTCTCTGACGACATTGGCTATTAACATGAAGGGGGGGGGAGAGTCTTCACTATGGTCATGGACCGTGGAACGATTTTATTGTTCTGTGGGACATGACACGAATATCGAATTTTGAAATCGAACGAACTCTCACACTAACAAACGAACTCGAACGAACATTCTCCATAGTGTATTTCATGTATGTAACAATACATTAAATTTAAAGACCGTATAGGCATCCTCTGAACTTGGCTGGCCACTGTTCAGTATTGAAGGTGTGCAGCTAAACAAACACTGTGATCACGCATGTAGATTGACATGTAAGCTAGCTAGAGCCAGATGCCAGAATCAATGAGAAAGTGAGAATGCTCAGTGACCACATGATAAACTGCCAGTGCCACGCAGTCAAACAGCATTTTTTTATTGCGCCAGCGTGCGCTGAATCACTGGGTTTTGCAGCTAGCTTAGCTGCAAAGTCCATCACCGTCGTCTGGACAAGAGTTTTGTTTCTCATCGCTAGCTCAGGTCGCGAGAACAAGAGAATGGTACTACTCAAGCGACTAGACTCCTTTCACTACAAATCTACCTCAAACGGACACACAGAAATATTTCCAGAAGCTTTGTCCCGACGCGACACTCTACTCCTTCAACTTACTTCAAGTGATCATCAAGGCAGACGCAGTTGATCAGCGCGCAAGTTCGCGACCTCCCGACTTCCGGCTCTATCGACTATCGAAGTCCATTTTGTATGCCCAGGTGGTAAGGGTTAAGGTTTGAAATCATTGTATCGTATTTTTTTCTTTCAGAATGCGCTGCACCATGGAAGCAAATTGCCCCTGGCTCAAGATATTGTGGAAGGCTTCTGGCAGGAAGGGCCACCTACTATCCTGCACGCTCACTCTGCCAAGCCCAAGCTGGTGGTGATGCAAGGCTGCCAAGAATATACAACAAACGGGAGAACGATGAGATTGGTGAATATGTGAAAGATGATATGTGGCTAGGCGGAGAGGATTCAGACGTGAGTGTACCATTGACTTTAACACATCATTTCTCATTAATACCACTCTTCAAAAAAAAACCCGCAGGAACCCTCCAAAGCAGCTTCTTCATTCTGATTCGCACTGCTGTACGATTGACTAACGTTTTCCTTTTCAAAAAATTTGCCTTGCTTTTTTGTGTACTGATGCACTACGGGCGGAGGTTGTTGTGAACCCTCTGATTCTCTTAAGAGAGCATGTCTGAGAATACCGAATCATATGTGCAAGTCAAGGTGAGTTCCTTTTGTGGCGTAGATTGACTGCAAATCCCTTAAAAAGTTTCTGAAGGGAACCTTGAAACTTGCATACCCCTCAAAAATGGCCAAAAATGGCCAAAATATCACATTATTTTGTCATTCTACTAATGAGTCACGCCACAGCGTATACGAACAAGCTACGAACAAAACTCCATCAGGCCAACATTGCCTCACCTTAGAAGAGTTCCTGGAGCAGTACCGCTTAGCCGCGCCAGCATCCCAGAAGACGAGGGCCATCACCTCTGACGCCACAAATGATCGTCTGGAAAATAGCCAATTTACAAGCGTTGCTAAAACAACCAGCTATATCCTCAATTGGCAAGAATTATGCACCGGCAGACAGTAGAACACCTCTTCTAGCACTGAGGACATGTCCCCATCTACCTTTTGGGGTTTTCTTGAAATAAACTTTTTCCGAATTTTTCCAATCGACCACTCTTGAGGCGACGGAACCTGTCTTCTCCCATATCCTACTCTCTGCCTAGGTACTCCTACCTACGCTGTCAGCTCAGAACTTCTGCACTGTCAACCCTGACATTCTTCCCTTCCTCATAGTCCTCTGTTCTGATCTCAGCATACTACTATTACATTTTACTAATATACAACAGCCGCGCTCATTAAGACACTTACATGTAAATCTACCCGATCCTTACATTATTCCGGCCCATTAGCAGCACACCCAAAAACATTCAAATGATAATGCGATAATGCGCCACCATCTTACGGTGATAATGACCTAGGCAAAAAAAGCATAGAGAGTCTCTCATTTTTTTCTTTTCTGCTATTTTAATAAGGCATAACATGGGAGAATGAAATTGAAGACACCACTGCAGCTGTACTTATGGTTTATAAATATGGTGGCTGCTATGCCGGATACCGCCAGCCATGCATCGACCAGGCGCCAGGCGCGAACTGATGGTGGTGGTGGTGAGAAGGAGAGCTCTGTGCCAGAACTTTGCAGCCTAGAGAGAGTGTGCGGGCAGGCGTGTGTTTACCGCCATATTGCCAGGTGTGTCTTTACCACCATATTTATCAACCATAAGTACAGCTGCAGTGGTGTCTTCAATTTCATTCTCCCGAGTCAAGCTCCGTATGAAGACATCCAAGAAGAAGATTGCCTGATGAGTCCAGCGGGGACGAAACGTACGTCGCAATCGAGCTATGTCGTTGCTGTGTCATCATCTGTGTGCCATGCACTACTTGATGTACCAGCCTGCTATGCCGGATACCGCCAGCCATGCATCGACCAGGCGCCAGGTGCGAACTGATGGTGGTGGTGGTGAGAAGGAGAGCTCTGTGCCAGAACTTTGCAGCCTTGAGAGCGTGTGTGGGCAGACGTGTGTTTACCGCCATATTGCCAGGTGTGTCTTTACCACCATATTTATCAAACATAACATGGGATTTAAACTTGCACTATCGCCCTGCATACATTTCCCCAATACATGTTGCATGCATTCATTCTTCCAAGTTTCTTCACGTAATGATCTTGCTGTTAAAAGCCCTATTTAAATAAATGGGCCAGCTGTCTTTGATGCTAGGGCATGGGACATATACGGCATAGCGCCGGGCATACCGACGCGCCCGACGGAAACAAGCAATGACCAGATTAAAGGAGTGTGGCCCCTTTTTTGCGATAAGACGTTACTCAAGTAAAGTATTTTGCATGGCAGTGGGAATAATTTTACTATTTATCGTGCGTCTTTCCCATGCAGAATGAAGGTGTATATCAATGGAGAGATACAGGACAAATTATAACTTACACTAATTGGCTGCCCGGTCAGCCAGATGATCATTCTGGCATTGAGGATTGCATCGGAATATATTACACCTTACGGAGAACGTATGAGTGGAATGATTTTATTTGTCATGGCTACTCACTCAAGGTGCTCTGTGTGAGAGGTACATGTGCACAATTTCATGATACACAAGATGTGTGTGATTGCGCAATATCTGTACAAAGGAAGACAATGCGGATTAAGAATAATAATCCGGGATTATGTGTTTTTTCGTTTGAAATATTGTCTCACCCTTTTCATAAATTGAAAACGTGGAAATCTGCGGGGCACTAGTTATACATTAGATTCCACCAAATAGACCAGGCCCTCAACAGTCTGATGTGCACATTTTACACCGCCAACAATTAGTACTGATCTCTCCCATTGCATGAACGTAAGGAAAGTGCATCGATTTTTCAGGTTGGGCTCAGATGAAAGACAGTCTGATATCAGTTCCGATGGTATATCTCTCGCTTGCGTACGGCAAAGGGAAGCTTTCATAATTATAACCTTCTCGCATGATTTTAATCTTTTATACATATATTTTCAGCGCAGGCGCTGGAAGGATTGTATTATGTCTGACCTTCGTTCTCGCGGCCTCGAGGTGGATTGGCGAGCTAAATGCATGTCTCGTTTCACCTGGCGCTCGGCGTAATCAGCACCGGTGGATGCACAGCATCCCCCCCCCCCCCCCAACCCCTCCCATCACCTGCTACACCTGCGACCGACATACACACACACACACACACACACACACACACACACACACACACATACACACACACACACACACACACACACACACACATACATACACAGAGTACTGGTACTCATTCTAACAGCCAAGAAACTGCTAGATCCCCATCCCCGAAGGACAACAACTCTAATGCGCCTCCAGAGAGATCAACCCAGGAAAATGGAAAAAGATCAGCAAACAAAAACTGGTAGCAAGCAAAGCAATGTCACACCTTCCGCGCTGGAGAAGCAATAGCGAGAACTGCCACATCTATTTATGACAAGCCGACATCCGATACCCTGTGGAGTTCAGACAGGCCAAGACTCAATTTACTCTTCCTAGGGAATGTAAACCCCAGATGCCCTGCCGAATCCATAGCAACTTTTTCCACTGAGCGAGGAATGGAGATGTACTGATGCAGGGTGGCCAAATCCATCGCGTTTGGCACAGTTCATGCCCATCTAGTGATTCCGGAGGCAGCAGGCTCCAAAGTCGACCAAAGTGGGTTCTGGCCAGATAAGATCAGTGTGAGACCCTAGAGATTTCGCAAGGACAGCCGTGGCTGGAGCAACCAGGACACAACATCAGCATCAGCATGAGTGCATCTTTCCTAAATCCTTCCTCCCCTTTGTGCCCCAGCACCCTCACCTCATTTGCAGCAACTTACATGCCACTGAAAACTCAGGAACTTAAAGTTGGACATATCAATATCCGCAGCTTGCGGCACAAGGTCATCCTTCTGGAAGGCATACTATGTAAGCATTATTTTGATGTAGCGGCAGTCGCTGAGACATGCTTTGACTCGGATTTTGCTGATGCGGAGGTGGCAGCGCTGGACTACACGGGGTACTGCAGGGATAGTGTCTGCAAGAACACTTGTGGATGTATGGAAGGGAAGACATGCAAAGCAGTTGGCGCCATTGACATGTACATCAAATCCAAACTTGATTCCGAGGTTGAGCGGCACTTTGACGCTGACCTGAAGGCCATATGGCTGTGCGCTCCTCAGAAGTTGAGCAGCAATAACTTTAAAATAGGATGTATCGCCCCCCCCCCCCCCCCACCCAGAGTTCCCATGTTAGGCCAAGCCAGGGAATACATGTACTTCATGATCGTCCTGTTTTCCAAAAAAATTGGGGAGGGCGGGCGGATTTTTATTTTTATCATTGTATTGCAAAAAGGTTTCCACCAGTTCGAATAACATGCATTATGACCTAAGCCAAAAAGCATAGCAAGGGCCCTGTGCTTTTCAAGCCCTCTGGTTCCGATGACCCAAAGGCTAACAGCCTATCGTGGGGTACGTCGCATTGAAGCATTGTGATGTCCTTTTGTTTGCTGCTCCTACATTCTCGCAGATATGCCATCCTGCTCAGCACCAGTGGTCACGGGCGCCACACAGACTGGTGATAGATTTTACATCGGAAGTACCGTCAATATCGTGTGTAATACTGGGTACAAAAAGATTGGCAGCTCCAACATCACTTGCAATGCCAGTTTGCTATGGTCGCCAGAGACAGCGTGCCAAGGTGAGTGAGCTAGCCGTGCACATGACATAAATTTGGAGGTGTTTCAGCGTTTCCTAGGAGTTTAACGCTGTTGTGGTCATTGCTTAAACATATGTGTTAGCCTGTCAGGGGTAATTTATGGGTAGGCGAAGAAGACAAGTAGGAGTACACTTTTGACATCAGTTGTCAGGGCCACCGTTCTTCATTCAAGAAGCGACTTTTAAATTTATGCATTTCTAGTGATTCGTGAATACCTACAGTGTCCCAGTTGGGCACACTGCCAAAAAAAATACAAATTTGATCACCCAAAGTGTTTCCTGAAAATCAATTCTGAATTTCAGGGATTGATTGGTACCCAGTGTCGCTAGTGGTCAAACGAAGGGCTCAATTTGCAAAACGAACCGTCTTCATCAAAACGAACGAAGGTGTCGAACGATTCTTTAACCAGTTCACAGTTCCTGTTGAAGTGCACTCTGTGCATGTGCCCTACGCAGTAGATGACTGTACATAATATTTTGCTACGCGCCCATGGCTTTTGCACTCTGCAGTTTGTACCCCACCAACTGCTCATGACTGCTTCTGCACCCCGTGGCCGTGAATGGCGTGCACTCAGGCACAGTCCAAGGCATAGTACTATGTACTCACGTGCTCACAGTTCGTTACAGGTACACTTACCAGGAGCCAAGTGGACGCGTAACTGGTTGACTGTACAGGCTCCAGTACAGTACACGTGTTTCAGGGAACATCAGTTGCGGGAATGCATGAAGAAATCGTCTGTTGACCTTCGTTTGGATTGAAAACGAAAGTTTGTTTCAAATGAAAACGACGGAAATGACGCTTCGCCGTGGCTTCACTCGAGTTTTTGCCAGAGTAGGGATTGTTCCTATCACATGTCGGCACGGATATAAGGAGGCGCTTCGTGTTTTCTTTCTTGCCACGAGATTGAATTCGGCTAGTGCATTACCGTCGGAGAGTTCGATTGTAAAATTAATTATTCCCCAAGAACTCAGATGGTGAGCAAAGGAAAATAATATTAGTTTGAAACATGGAAATTGTGGGCACAAGTTCTGCGATCGAGTACAATAACTAAACCAGATTTTGAAAGTCAGACGTGCACAATCTACCACAAAACTGACAAGGAGTACTGAGACATTCCACGGCATGAAAGCCAGCTTGAGCTTGAGCTTCAATGCCTCAGTACTCCTTGTCAGGTTTGTGCTAGATTGTGCACGTCTGACTGTTCAAAATCTGGTTTAATTGGTGAACTCAAATGCATAACTTGTGCCCACAGTTACTATGTTAACAAGTTTCCCCAAGAGTAGCAACATATCAGCGAAATATTGATTGAGACCTTGTGCCTCTTCAAAACCTGGTTCAGTTGGTGGACTCTAATGCATAACTTGTGCCCCACCGTATTCTTTGTTTCAAAATATTGATTGAAAATCCATTTAACTCTTCTTTTCTTTATTGCAGTCCAGGGACTGTATGAGTGTTCTTGAGCAATGTTTATCAAAATGAACTGTTTCCTAACGATTCGTCTTTGACGAGCACTGCATCCTCTCTTCGCACACCCTCCGTTTACAACACATGTTGAAAGCCTGCGACTGCACATTGTTCATGGTGATATGCTGGTGTGGGTCTTATATTACAGATATCAATGAGTGTGCATCTGGTACTCACAACTGTTCAATGAACTCAACATGTACAAACACAGCTGGTAGTTATACGTGTGGTTGCTACTCTGGATTTGCCAATGCTTCACCTATCAACCTTTGTTCAGGTAGCCAACTATGATCTGCTACAATTGCAACTAAACTGCAACACCAGACAAAATTATGTAGAAAACATCTTTTGCGTAAATACAAATATTCCTTATAGTTACTTCAGTACATGGTATGTATGAATGGTGACCATGACAAAGTGAAACAATCCCTCCTCTTGTCCTCCTTGCCCTCTCTACCCTTGGTAGCCATTACACACATGTTGATGACCTTGGTTGTAAAGGAGTTGGAGAGTTGATTGGGTGTCTGCAGTGGAGCTTCCGGGTATAGAAGAAAATCTTACACGAAAGCTGACAAAATATGTCGTAAAATACTGTACTCGTGCCAGTTGAGCCCTCTTTTGAATAGTGCCTCTATCTCTGAGACCCTATAAAACAATATAGCCCTGTCTTGTGTAGCTCCCCCAGCCCCCCCTCCCCCCCCCCCCCCTCCTGGGCTAGCAACCAAATCCATGTACAAGTTTGGTGTTGTTCTCTTAATGTTCTTGTCCACTTCTTTGCGCTGGTGGTTTCAGGAACTGTGTTTTATGCTGGAGGAGGTATATGTACCAGCATTGAGAACGTATTCAATTTTGCTGTCGTGAGTCCCGTCCGGGACTGATACGAGAATAATAATAATAATATTTGAGAACGTAATTGTCTTTCTTCCATATTTCTCTCCCTTGGATAGTGCCCTCTCTTTCATGGTGCCCCGTCTTTGATGGGCTTTGAACAATAGTGCGTCAAGTTCACTAATCGCGCGAGTACAGTACATTGCACAATGTTGAGTAGAGTTTATGTTTTGGGACTTATTGACTTCTTCCAGCATGTGTTGCACCGTGGAAGCAAATTGCCCATGGATCAAGATATTGTGGATTGATTTTGCGAGGACTTCACTCCTACCATAAGGCTCGCGCACTCTGCCGAGCACAACCTGGTGGTGACACTTGGCTACCCAGAGTATACAATAAACGGGAGAATGATGAGATTGGTCAGTTAGTCAAATGGAATGTATGGCTGGGCGGAGATGATGAAGAAGTAAGTATTAATAAGTATCAAGAAATCTGGGACAACATTTCTCCTGTACGAAATAGTGGTTGCGACTTCGCGGCGATGATTTTTAGGAATGGATTTGCTCCCACACTGGAGCTCGCGCTATTCCGCCGACTTGACTTGACACTTGACTGACTCACGACTGGCATCCAGAATTTGAAGGTTCGATGGACTTCTCGTGTGCTCTTCTTGTGTGCTCTGGATGGCAGTCGTGAGTCAGTCAAGTGCCAAGTGCCAAGTCACGGGAATAGTGCGACCTAAAGTGTGGAAGCAAATCCATTCCTAAAACATTTCCCCTCACGAAATTATAAGCAGAGGCTGCGGCGGTACTCGTAAAGAAGTTGAGTGCTCTCACGTACTTCCAAGAACACACGCATCCTCTCAAACTTGACACTTTACTGGCTCACGACACCTTCCACTGGGCAAACCAGCAAGAAAGCAGCACTTCCGTTTCAATACACAGTGTTTCAGGGAATTCACCCCTCATCAGTTGAGCTAGAGTAGGCTGAGAAAGACTGTGCAATAAATGTGCCACCTTCTCTTATTGGCCACAGGCCATCGTGGGAATAAAATATTTCAAACCAACAGTACTGTCCCAATCATCACCATGGATACAATCATCACCATGGATACAATCATCACCATGGATACAATCATCACCATGGATACAATCATCACCATGGATACAATCATCACCATGGATACAATCATCACCATGGATACAATCATCACCATGGATATAATCATCACCATGGATACAATCTTACAGAGTCGCTCCATTTCCGGGCCGACAAACACCTCTTGAGGCCCCAGGTAGCAGCATGAGTCAAAGTTGCTCACGGAGTTGTGCTCAACAGACGCTGAGAGACAGTTGATTTCTGGAGGGTGTGGAGCACATATCTGACGAAGACCCTCACTATGGACTATGCTTTTGCAGTTGTGAATGTGGGCCAAGAGCAGAGTGTGGAGGAACAGACAATTATAGTTTAACATTCATTCCGGGTTGTGGGGTCCAAACGGACCCCACAGCCCGGAATGAATGTTAAACTATAATTGTCTGTTCCTCCACACTCGCAAAATGGCCCCCAGGGGTATGGTTTTTGACATATTTGTACTTTACTGCGTCACATCTCCCTGAATCTTCATGTATCCCTCAACAACACAATAACCGAGATAGAGAAATAGTCTGGGTTAGATGTTCATGATGGATTTCGCTTTTGTTACGGAAAATGCGGGTGGGGTCCAAATGGACCCCAGTAACATAGAACACAGGGAAGTGCAACAATTGCGATAGTTTTTGGTATTTATTTCCCTGGTCACCGAATACATGGATGACATCGACTGAAGTACGATGCCCTGCAAGAAAATGTCCTTCTACAGCCATAATCCCTCATTCCATGTTGACTTTTTTCCTACATTCCCAGTAAATCGGGGTCCTTTCGGACTCCAGGAACGTTTTGGGTGGTATTCTTGCAAACTTGCAAAAAAAGTCCCGACAAATTTCAGAGCTGTCACCAAATGGAGTTGGGTCAAAGCATTGTTCTATGGGAAGGTAACGCAGCAAACAATTACAAATGGAGAGTTTTGCAAGAATACCACCCAAAACGTTCCTGGAGTCCAAAAGGACCCCAAATATACTGGGAACGTAGGAAAAAGGTCAACATGGAATGAGGGTTAAAAAATGCCGAGTTCATTGCTACTTCTGAGTTCGCATGACTTACATTTACTTACAGAGAAATGATTTCCCTAGTGCCAATAGGTATCCTTTACATCCGCCTACTACTGGCTGACTAAATGCGCTTCTTTTGGGCTCCGCATCACAGCCCTTTGTCAGTTATTTCAGGATGAAGAGGGCACTCCAAGTTGAGGGCAGGCAACTCCTTCAAACTCTAAATTTTGCAAAAACTTTTTTTATTTGCATTCTTCCAGGTCTGAAAACACAGCATTGTGCTTTCACCAATTACAAGTGGTGGCATGGCTAACGTTAGGATTGCCTGATGGTGTATACAGTAAAACCTGTAAGTAAAGACCACCGTGACTAGCGACCAGCTTGCTACTACAGACCACTTTGAAAAGGCACGGACGGTCTCACATTCATATAATGGTTGTGCGGTGCAAACCTCTAACTAAGGACCACCTGCCACTAAAGACCACTTTCCCTGGCTCCAAGGGGTGGTCGCTAGTCACAGGTTTTACTGTATATCAATATAATTAGGAGGGGTGGCCTGATGACGAATGAGATGCGCTGCATTGTAGTTTCCTAGCACCCTTGACTGACCTCGTTCTAATCCTTATTACTCCTATCTTACGATTCCGGTCTTTCCTATACAGAGTGAAGGTGTGTTTCGATGGAGAGATACAGGACATAATATCACTTACAGCAACTGGCTGTCTGGTGAGCCGAATGATCTATATGACGAGGACTGCGTCGGACTATTCTATAGCAGAAATTCAACGAATGTGTGGAATGATTTTGATTGCAATACGGATGTCATGTTTGTGCTATGCGTGAGGGGTAAGTTTGTATAATGTCATGGTAAACTCATAATTTGAAACTCGGGTATTTAGCCAATAATAAAAGTAGAAAGGAAAAGTTCATATGGAAACGAGTTAAGAGTAACTCTCCACCACTTTCTGACTGTATAATAGTATCTAGTTACAGTGGTGGAGAGTTACTCTTAACGCGTTTCCATAATTATGTCCTTTTCCTTTCTACTTTTATACTCATAATAAATATATTTTCATGCAGTACTAATTAACCAAAGTACTGTAAAAGCCATAACGAAGTGCTAACTCTAACGAGTTAACGAGGAGAAATCTGTCATTAAAATAGAAATCGTTATACAGAAATCGATACTTTTACTGTCCTATTGAGCGTTAAGAATGAGTGAGAATCGTTAGCTTTGGTACACGTAAACTAGTCAATTTTGGGAAATCGTTATAATTATATGCGCCTCGTTAGAATAATGGCTTTTACAGTAAGTCAGCTGTATCCAGGCCAAGGCAGAACAACTTTCAGGATAATCACGGTAACACAATGGCAGTTTAAGCAGCCTGGCTTTAACACAGCAATGTAAAAGTAACTGCCTTAGTGGAATGTATTAAGTATAGCGGGTTGAATGTGAAGTCCTACAGCATGATACTTGATTCATGATTATTATTATTTTAATTTCTACCAACCACGGCCGCACAAAGTCCTTGGCTACAAAATAATGAAAATCTCGCAAACCAAACTTCAAATTCTTTATCATTATTAGTATTTTCGTATCTGTCCTGAATGGGACTCACAGCGGCAGAATTCAGAATTGACTGTGAGCAGTGTGTGTGCGTGGGGCGTGGGGGGTAGGAAATGAAAAATAAAAATAGAGTATTGTAATAAACAATCGACGAGGAGACAATAGTCGTAAAATGGCAATAAATAAGATAAATTGTGCACTCATAACAACAGCAAAAAATGAAGAAAGTTAAGTTCCATAACGTTTTCTTGTGACTGTCATCAGTGGAACGCCGTCACATAAAAATGTAATACCTAAAACATAGGACACACTTATATACATGTAGCTAATATGGTTTCAGGTAGAAATACAGCAGCCAGCAAGTACAAAAAGCGAAGTTTGTACCTTTGCAATGTGTGAATATAGTGTATGTGAGAAAGGTAGTGGCAGATGAATGTGATACTGTGTGAATGAATGTAATGGTGCGTGTGTATTACTTGAAGAGTGTGAGTGATACGTTTTCTTTACCTTTCTCACATACACTATATTCACACATTGCAAATGTGCAAACTTTGCTTTTTGTACTTGTTGGCTGCTGTACTTCTACCTGAAACCATATTAGCTACATGTATGTCAGTGTGTGTTTTAGTTATTGCATTTTTATGTGACGGCGTTCCACTGTTGACAGTCACAAGAAAACACTTTGGAACTTAACTTTCTTCATGGTTGATAAATATGGTGGTAAAGACACACCTGGCAATATGGCGGTAAACACACGCCTGCCCACACACGCTCTGTAGGCTGCAAAGTTCTGGCACAGAGCTCTCCTTCTCACCACCACCACCATCAGTTCGCGCCTGGCGCCTGGTCGATACATGGCTGGCGGTATCCGGCATAGCAGGCTGGTACATCAAGTAGCGCATGGCACATAGATGATGACATAGCTCGATTGCGACGTACGTTTCGTCCCCGCTAGTCCCCGCAGCCTAGAGAGCGTGTGTGGGAAGGCGTGTGTTTGCCGCCATATTGCCAGGTGTGTCTTTACCACCATATTTATCAACCATAAGTACAGCTGCAGTGGTGTCTTCAACTTCATTCTCCTAACTTTCTTCATCTTGTAACGAGAGAGCTTGGAAGCTCAGGGCCCTACGCTATGCTTTTTTGCCTTGATGACCTAGACAAAAAAAAGCATAGGGATGTTATAAATTCTGTTTAAAATCCTTGTTTTTTAAGACATAACCTGGGATTCGAACCCGCACTATCGCGCGCACTGCATGCATCCCCGATACACTTTGCATACATACTAATTCTTCCAAGTTGCTTCACGTTATGATCTTGCATTTGAAAGCCCTATTTGAATATGCATTGTGGCCAGCCGTCTTTGATGGTACGGTACGGTACGGGATAGGTACGGGACAGGTACGATCGAGGGTAATACGACACCGTCTACCGCCTTGATGACGGCAAAAAAAGCATAGGGATGTTAAAAAAAATTCAATTCTCCTTTTTTCAGGCATATCCTGGGATTAGAACCCGCACTATCGCCCTACATGCATTCTCCCATACACTTAGCATTCATACCCAGTCTTCCAAGTTGCTTCACGTTATGATC